AAATCGAAATATTTGGGCTCATGTTTAACGCCAACGAACAGAGTACCATAAATTCATAATAAAATAGTTCAATATTCCATGTTCCTAGATTCAGTATCCACTTCAATCAACCACAACTTTCCCATTTATGGAACATGATTCACTCTGTAACATCTATGTACGTTTGAATCCCTTCAGCGCTGAAAACTAGATGCAGCCTTTCGCCTAAAAAAACTAGTCATAAGACAAAAACGCATACGTTCAGCAAGAATTAAAATTATGATCGTGAAATGTCCACAAATTAAATGACAGCCGCTTCTTTCCAAAAAATTACTAACAAAATAACACGCGAATGGAAAAAACAAATTATGTCATATGCTGAGTACCAACACAAACAGATGAACACACACTATCCACTATGTAAAATTTCCATACAGTTCTAGGCCTGGCTAATATTTATCTCCGAAATTAATTTCCGACTCGTCAAACGCAATGACGAAATACGCCATTACAGTCCAATTGCTGCCATGGCCTCCTCTCATATTCAGACAGACGATTAGACCCCTTACACGAGAGACAATGCCCCATTGCTGCCGACGAATTGGAAATCAGAGCTTACTTTGCCCCTGACGATGCTCAAAAACTAGTCTGTAAACCAGTTCCAGGGCCACCTAATCCTTGTAGCTGACTGGTTTGGAAGTGACTTCCAAACCAGCCAGCTACAAGGATTAGGATTTGTATCGCTGAGAGTTCTTGTAATTTTTCTCGTTGCTGCTGACGCTTATAATGAGAACAACAACCAGTGTCATGTCACATTTCAGTTCTTTAAAGCCCGGTGGTAGATTTATTCAATAATGAACGACTCTGTTTTCGAAATCCAAAGGTTTCTAACGATGGTGCGTTTTAGTATGTAAAATTGATCTTCTAGACTTTGTCCATCGTCTGATTTTAAATTATATAATTAATATAATTTAGACGACGGACTATCCAAAGGAATAATTTACCATATATACATATGTCTCACATAGAATATATTTATTGATTTCGTACGATTCTTGGACAATATGGCGATTATTTCCTTATCCGTAATCAACTAGCCTTTCTAATAAAGAACCGTCGTTTTCTTTACGGTACGGACTGAGTTTTTTAAAAAAATATCTAGACCAGCTTCGGCTTCAATGAAGCTATTCGTCGACCAGGCGAACATTTTTCAACAAAGGCGGGGTATTTCTTGACCAATCGATTATCAGATTCTCACGGATTCTACTCCATGGAATTTTTAT